AATAATTTGTCATTAAAAATCGATTAAAAATCAAAATAAATATCTAAAATTCTTCAAGAAAGGGGAGTCGGCTTTATTTCGACTTTGTGATTCGGGAGATACTTCGCTTAACCCCATCCCAACGGGGGGAAGCAAAGTGCTGCCGAAATTTCTCGGCAATTTACTGAATTTTATTGAATTAAATCTTAAATAATTAAAGAAAATACTTGAAAATTAGCTAAAGATTGATATACTTTTTCAGTTCTTAATCTTTCTTGTTAAACATCTTCCGTCGATATTTTGAGGTCTTCGGCCAAACCCTATCCCAACGGGGGGAGCCAAAGTGCTGCCAAAACTTCGCAAAATTTCCTAATTTAAATTATTAATTCTTTTTTAATATAAATATATTGAAAGCGATTAGGGAAATTAATTATAAATACGTTAGAGATTTGTTTCTTTTAGCGACTTTCCTCTTGTTTCATTTGGCTTTAGTTCTGGGTATGTAGCATTTGTCTAGGGACAATAGTCCCGAACCCCATCCCAACGGGGGGAGACGAAACGCTGCCGAAATTTTAATAAATTCCCTTAATTTTATTTCTACCCCTAAAAATCATCGGACTCGGCGGGCTTATATATGTATTGATCATTAATATATATAAATTAAGTAAGAAATTTTATCTTAACTAAATACATTTTCTTTAATTTATAATTAAAAAATACAAAAGAATTCCCTAGAAGGAAAAGGGAAAGAGACGTTGCGGTAACCTGGTTTCTGGTGAACCTACTAGCTTGTTCTCGAAGGCGTGAGGTTAGCGACGCAAAATTTCAGTTATTAATCTACATCTCCCTCTTGCTGCGTTCTCTCTAGCCGCCAGTTGAATGTGGCCGCGGGTGCAAGTAGAGGTCTATGGAGCTACGATTGACTGGGACTTGGAGCCCCCTGAACTCATAGAGGGGGATCTGGTGGAGCTCACGATCCCAGGGCGCAACATCCGACATGTTGACGGCCAGTTTGCGTAGAGGTCCATAATCTTGTCCAAGGACGTGTGGCTTTGGACGTACAGAGAGCACCGGCCGGGGCAAGGAGTGGGCGTAGTGAGAGCCTACTTCTATTTGGGACTGGGTGCGGTCAGGGAGGCCGTGGTGGGCCTCGCGACGACAGGGACTAGTGACGCAATTAGCAGGGCGTTACGCTACCTAGGGGAAGAGGTAGCTGCCTTCCGAGCGGAGGACTCGAGCGACCCGTTGACGCTATTTCACGGACGCCCTCCTCTTGATATTACGAGCGAGCTGGTGGTAGCACGGGACGGGTTTTTCCCGTACAGCGTTAGGAGCCTGCGGGCGATAGTTCCGACGTTCGTAGTAGAGAGTGTCTTTGGAGGTATTGGTGGAGTGGTCGAGACATACCTGGCTTATCAGGATCTCAAGATCCTGGCGAGAAGGCCTGCCGACCTGGACTATATCTATTATTCGCTCGCGACCGGTGGGCCTCGTTGGGGAGACGAGAGGATTCAGCTTATAGAGCTGATCCGCTCGATAGACGACGAGTGGCCCCAGTCTGCGTGTGTTTGGGATTGGTTAGACCGTGAGCTCCGATCAGGCCCCGAGTACGTGATCTGTATCGGGCGGCTCTTCTCAGACGACTGGGAGAGCTGGTGGAGTGAGGACGCCGGGCGACCTCTGATATACGGCCATCAGTTGACACAATACTACCAGGGTATAGGACAGGCGCCATACCACGTCGAGGACGAGTTTGACGATGAGGGTTGGGAGCGAGAGGACGACGAGGGCGCCTGGGAGCCAGACTGGGTTGACCCAGAGAGTGAGGTTGACGAGGAGGAGATTGACGTTACAGATGCCCACTTTCCCGGGATAGGAGTAGCGGTCCGGGCGTAGGAGGTAGAGGAGCACATCAGGGCGACGGTTGAGTGAGCCTGGCTACTGAACCTATTCGACCATACTGGACCTGAGTGCGAGAGTTGTCTGAAGGGTTAGCAACGTCGAGAGATGGGGTGGGAGTAAACTGATGCTGACCGAGAGTAGGAGAAGAAATGAGGAGTGATTCAGCGGCCTGGTTAGCTTATGTTCTCTCACGAGAGTCCGAATCGTATAGTGTGAGGAAGCTTGTGGGACCCAGAGAGACGGCGGTTGGATACGACATACCACTTCCTGTGACGTTAGAAGAGGCAGGGCGTGAACCGATACGATACTTGGGAACGTGGCTCGCAGAGGGGCTCTTTATTTGGACAGTGATACTACGAGACGAACGACCCGAGAGRACTCATGATCTAGAAGGGGTCGGACATCTGATAGCGGATAGAACATACGATGTAGAGATAGGACTGACGCTCGCAGGGGCGAGCAGGAGTTGGTGGAGGAGCGAGTCGTTGGCCAGAGTGATCATTAATCAGCAATTGGCGAGACTCTCTGGAGGGAGGACGAGTAGGAGTTGCTTGGTATACGGTCCCTCTACCCGAGAAAGGATTGGCGATTCGGAGTTCCTACCTTCGTGATAGGGCAGACCTATGGGAGCGTGGATCGTTTGAGGAGAGCAGTGGATCACACACTTTACGCGCTCTGGGAGGGCTTAGCGCCGCGCTTCAAGGAAGTATACTACGCCATTTGTGTGAGGTGGAGGCCGCCCAGTAAAGAGACGCTTGACGACATCATAGGTGTTACTAGCTGGGTGAATTGTCTGAGGCCTATCGATCTGACTAGGTACTGCAGGAGACGGGCAGAGATCGATTACGCGGGGCTAGAGGATGTGAGATTTCTCTTCGAGGCCGCAGCTTAGGGAATGCCGGGAAGGACGACCACGGTGATGCGTGTAGAAAAGCAACTGGTAAGCGTAGGATACACTGTGACAGTACTTCTCCGAGTGTACGTAGACGAGGACTTGACAGCAAGTGATTGCAGACAACGAGCTAGGGATTTGATCCACGAGCGTAGAGCTGATGTACTAGCGCGAGTGACCTTCCAGACCTCGATTTCCTATGATGTGATGATATGGTCTCGTGGTTATATGCGCGCGGAGCACTACCACGATGAGACGGTAGCGGAGGCTAGAGCGAGGGTGAGAGGATGAGCTGGGAAAAGATGTGGACTGAGAATGGAAGAGGAGAGTGAGGTAGTCGGAAGAGTGAGAAAGGGCGTTAAAGAACCACTCTTGAACCAGGTAAAGAAGTTGGGGAACAAGTTAAGGGAGATCTGGTCGTGTCAGGACGAGGGTAAGTTGCGTAGGGCTGAACTCGTGACGAGAGAGTTAGAGAATCTGTTTAGGGAGGAAAGAGAGATTATCCAGGCGTGAAGATCAGACTTTCTGGAGAGGGTAAAGGCTAGAAGCGTATCACGCGAAGAAACTAGTGAGCGATCTGCAGAGAGCGAGACAACGGAAGACAAAGTAACGCAGGGAAGTAGCGACAGGACATGAGTGGGACAACACTACACACGACGGATCGGTACTCATTGCATGTGGTAGGGAGATTGGACGGACCATTGGTGTAAGTGATCGTAGAGCTTCAACTCCATATCAGACTGTGCATAGTTGAGGAGGCAGAGTGTGTCCGCCGTGCCCTGCGTGAGGCAAGGGGGACAGGACTTTGAATTGGAATAGAAGGAGGACGGAGGATAAAATACGTACTCCGAGTAACGCCCTTTGAAGGGCGGTCGCGGATAAGGGCATGGTACGAGACGACCAGAGAGGCTGAGAGGTTGAAGATAACCGAAGCTAGGAAAGTTGGAGAGTTAGGGAGAGTTGTAATAGATGGTGCAATGCTCAGGGTGTTAGCCGCTCACAAACGGTACTGGAAGGAAACGATAAAGACTTTAGAGGCGATAGACGATGGAGGAGATAATGAGGACTTTGAGACATTTTATGACATATTGGAGCGGTCGGCGATGAGGTTACAAGTGGTTATAGCACTAACTTACCTCAGCTGTTAGACAGATGACCTCGTAGCCGTTGAGGAGATAAGGTAGTGGAAATAGAAATTGGAAGCTCTTGGAAGGATAGAGGAAGCTAGAAAGGCCGATGGGCGACATTGGACGACAGTAGGAGGGCGTTTAGTGGGCTAACCGATTCAGACAGGGCTAGGAGAACTAGCAAGGAGGACGGAGAGAGACGCTCGGGGACTCTTGAGGGGTGTTGATCAGGAGACATTGGCTAGGTTTGGGACTGCAATCTGTCTCAAGGATAGAGGTCCTGTCACGGGCGTACTGCGGATCCGGACGGGTACGGCCTTGTTGGTCGATCCCCAAGGAGAGGTTACTTAGACACAGGGATTCTTGGGATAGAGGGTAAAAACACGAGATCTGCGGCCGGTACGGGTTACTGGAGGTGGTAATTAAGCCAATCGAGAGCTAAGTTTGGAGGCGGATGCGAGCCGTGACAAGGAAACAGGTCCGGGCTGCCGCAACTGTCACAGGTCCGGGCTGCAGCGACTGTCATAGGGTCGGGTTGTAACAGTTGGCAAGAAAACCTAACTGCGTCTTCAGGCGGTCCAATGAAACCCGACACGATGGGGCCACAACCGACCATGGGCGAAGCGGGAGAGGAGTATAGGACATCGCCCGATCGAGCTCTGAGAGAACTGAAGGAACGAATTAGGCAAGAAGCACCGCTGAGATGGGTTGACCAAACCAATGACGGAGGGCTCGATGTAAGAGGCGAACCAGTTGCAGCAGAGCCGCAGGAGGCTCTAAGGACGGGTACCTCGAGCGGACGACGAGAAACGACGAGACGACGCTCCCCCGAGTACGAGCGGAGGGACACCATAGCGGATAGGCACAGAAACGACTGGGGAGAGAGTTTGAGGGATTCCTATTGGAAGGACAAAGATAGAGACAGGGCGCCGCCCAGGCGAGTCTTCGACCCCCAGACAGGGGAGTCACATCCACTCCCTTACGAGAGAAAGGATCGCTATATTATTACGCACAAGGCCTCAGAGCCTCCTACCTTTAGGGGTTATGGTATCACAGAATATCTGGAGAAGTGGGAGCTTCACGCCAGCCGGAGTCAGTGGTCGGAGGAAGAGATTGTAGAGAACTTCCTATTTAATGTGGACCCAAGTCTTGGTAGGGAAGTTAAGGAAGCTCGACTGAAGGATGGGAAATGGACTACGTACAAGAAGAACCTCGTTGAGCTTTACAAATTGGAGGATAGCAARTATTCCATCAAGGACCTTGAAACAATGACTCAAGATGAAGATGAGAGCGTACGGGCATTTGGGATGCGTTTCCAAAAGATCTCTGACGTGCTGATGAAGAAGGGGAAGATCTCAGTGGTCGAGCGCTGTCCTATCTTCATCGGACACTTCTCCAAAGGTAGGCAAAAAAGTATACTTAGAGATCTTCCGCGCGACAGGCTTGATTTCCCAGAAGTCCTAAAGCTCGCGATAAAGACAGAGGCAGACGATTACAAGGACTTGGTGTGGAGAGGGATGAGGAGACGTGACTTCTCTCTCTACAAGGAGTATGCCACTAATAGATGTCCTGATTTCAAGGATTATCCCTGGTCGGAGGAGAATGAGGCCGTGGCTGAGGAAGTGAAGGAGATACGGGACATGGTGAAGGGATTAACGAGATAGGTTACAGAGATTGTGACCACTACAGGGGCCACGGCCTACCGGGACAAACCTGGAGGGCCCTATTCACTTCGCTGGGACCGTAGGAACAACGATCCCTGGAGGAGTATCGAGGATAAAAATCCTCGGACGCTAGCTGATTATCGTACGAGGGGAAGAGAGAGAGACGATGAGCCATGGCGACGTAGGGACGATGAGATAGACCGAGACCGCAGAGATCGCGAGCCGTTTGTGCGAGCAAGGAGGCTGGATGATTACCCGCGAAGTCCTCGCTATGAGGCCGATCGGGGTAGAGGCGACTCCCGCGGCCGATGGGAGACAGAACAGGGCCGACGAGATGCATATAGGGACGACAGATACGACAGATCGGACCGAGATGGATATAGGGACGACAGATACGAGAGGTCGGGTCGAGATGGCTACATAGGAAGTAGATATGAGAGAGGAGATCGGGACTGGGAACGACAAGATGGGTCGCGCGGACGGTTTGAGCGCGGGGGAGATGCGAGAGAGCAGCGCGACGAGTCGCGGGGGTGGTACAACCGAGGGGACCGACGCGATGAGTCACGAGGACGATATGACTCGGGGGACCGCCGGAGTGATTCGCGAGGGCAGTATGAGCAAAAGACTGGCGCAACGATCCGCGCGGTCGGAATGAGAGAGGGGGATATGGCGTCTCATCAGAACCATATCCCAAGTCGCCTGACCCCAAGGCGGCCA